CGGTCTCTAATTAGAAGTACAAAACGAGGATTTGTAAAGAAGAATGTCAGCGTTGTTGGTTAGACAACGCTGACCCCATACGTCATGCTCCCGGAACTGCTTCCGTTTTACAACAGTGAGCGCAAGCTAGATTCAAGTGATTATTACGTTTTGAATATGGATATTTTTCTTACAAAAACGCATCGATTCGCTACAGGAGGCCTTTGTTCACCCCCTGGAGCCGTGTGAGACACTTTTTTTTATGGAAGGGTGCTTTTTATTTCACGTCTTTTGGACAGAAGCAATGCAACACCCGCTGAGTGCAACGATAGAGCTTGAAAGATCAAAGACAATTTTTAATATAACTCCGACTGGATTCGTCTGAAAGAAGAAAGTCATATACACCTAGGATGCATCGGGGGTGAGTAAAACGCAGCCTAATTTTCATTTTTGGGTGAACTAACCCTTTAAGACTGGCTGAATGTACATTATCCTTTAATTTCATTTGCTTTGTTTGTAGAAAACTAATATATGAAACACTTATTTTCATCTCAGCCTTGAATAATATTTCTAGTCTCTAAAACCTGTTTTGAGAACTTCCAAAACCTTTTCCCTCTTTGCTGAGAAACAGTCTTTGGTTTATAATCACAATTATCTTGTAATCACAGCCCAAAGCTGACTATTTGCCTGTACTGATGACTGTTATCAAACGCTTTACTCTATACAAACTGACAGGCATCCGGTCTAAGGCAATAAGCTAGGGTTTTTCCGCTATACAGACCTTTCACTGATTCAGTTTGTTACTGTAAACAGTTTTGTATTATATGATTACAGCAGATCATGTCAAAATAATGGATAGTGACCTATCATGTACACAAAATACAATCATGATTTACTGATTGTTGTAGTCTAAAATACAAGAGAACTTTCATCAGCTATTCTCTCGGTTTAATCAGAAACTTGCCAGATGTTTCTGTAGAAGATTTTTCAAAGGTGGACCTGAGCCAGTACAAGTGGATCCACTGGGAGGTGAGAGTATCCACCAAATATGTGAATATAAAGTTCACACTAGTAACACTGAAACACTATTTAGTTCCATCTGATCTGTGTTTAATAGCTTTATTCCACAAGTAGAGAACTAGAGCTGATTGTTTTATGAATGCATTGTCAGGGCCGTAATGCTGACGAACAAGTGAAGATGATTGAGAGGGCGAGAGAGTACAACAGCAAACAGGAAGAGAAGAACAGAATCACCATCTCTGTGGAAATCGAGAAAACCAGGGAACCCCTCTACCAGCTTTTTCCTCTTGGTGATTTGGTATGATTTTACTATATTTCAAACAAACTTTACATGAAAAAAACACATTATGTTAAACCACGTAGTCAAATGTTCTTTGTAAATTGATTTTGGACTGGCAGATCACACAAAATATTTACATTTTGAACTGCGAAATTAATTTAAAATATTTTATTTAAATGTATATATTATAATTTATACATATACTACTGTTCAAAAGTTTGGGGTCAGTGTGATTGTCTTATTATTATGATTATTTAAGGAAGCATTACATTTATCAAAAGTGGTAGTAAAGACATTTAGAATTTTACAAACGATTTCAATTTCAAATAATGCTATGCAATTGCAAACGTAAATAAATTTGAACTTTGCATTTATCAAAGAATCACAGTTTCCACAAAAATATTAACCAACCATTTTGTAGCTTGAAAATTCAGCTTTGTGATCACAGGAAAAAATGACATTAAAAAATACTACTAGTAGTTATTTAAAATTGTAATAATATTTCTCAATATTACTGTTTTTATTGTATTTTTGATAAAACAACAACAAAAATATTAAATATATTTAAATGATAAAAATATATTTAAAAATGTCAAAATATATGACGTAAGTAGGTCCATACACAATCTGCATTCTACAATTATTTCTCTTGTACAGCGACATTTGTTGGCTTTGATTTTGAAAAATCTTCAAATAAACAAAGCTGAGAATCCTGAACTGTTGGGAGCCGAAGTCAAAATATGTAATAAATATATATATTCAACAAAATATTTAATAAATGACCACGCAAGAAGCATAAGATTTAAAGAAGCAGTGCATTTAATTTTTGTGGAAATCTGAGTGTGCCTTTATGAATGCAGGGCAGCTGATAAGCTTTGAGGCATGCTTGTACACTACACAGCCTGTTTATCTGTCACTGCTTTCAATCAGGTCTTTGTTAGTAAGGATGTGGCCCAGCACTTTGGGTTTACCTCAGCTGCTGCTGCATTGAAGGGTTTCTATGGTCGTCTGAGAAAGGGGTGAGTCAGTGGTTTAAAATGACCGCTAGATGTCACTGGTGTTCCAAAAACTCTCTTGACTGTGTCTATTCTTAATCGCTGTTTAAGAGTATGTTCTTTTGAAATATTAGCTGTTCCATGTGTTTAGATGAGTTTGGTTGTGTGTCTAGAGCTACCCTCATTTGTGCCTGGGCGGAAAAGGGAGCGGATGCCATGGGTCCCGATGGTGTAATCATCCATTCAGATGCATTCCCGCCTGAGAAGCTTGTAGACACACTAGGAGCAGGAGATACCTTCAATGCTTCTGTAATCTATTCCCTTTCAAACGGTAAGGATGAAGGTCTGATTCTGAAACACAAAGAAGTAAGGTGTTATTGTAAGTTGTGTATATAAATCAAGCTGGTTACTTTCTCTTTTCTGCAGGGAGCAGCCTACAGGATGCGCTCACATTTGGCTGCCAGATTGCAGGCAAAAAATGCGGTGTCCATGGATATGATGGAATTTTACACTGAACATGGTGGAAAGGTGCACAGCAGGAATGTAGTACAGACATGAAGCATGCTGATAAACTTAACTAGTGCTGTAAGCTACTAGTCATTGTCAAGGCATGATGAGGTACTGAATAATGTTTCTTCACATAGAAAAGACTCATGTACATGCAAAGGACGAGTCTAAATAATGATGGTATATTCTACTGATGTTCTTCTGTATTAGAATGAATAAATTAATTGAAGAAGACTTGTTTTACAACTTTCACTTACGCATTCAAAAAAAAAACAAAAAGAAAAACTATATATGAAGAGTTCATTTGCAAAAACAGAACTCCGTTTTTAACAATTCTCAAAAATCATGTTTTTTCATTGTGCATTCCAATTAATCTCAATCAAACTACAGTTAAGTTATTTTGATTAGGTTAAAAATAACTAAAAATTACAGCTAACACAAAAACATGATTACATAATAAAAAACATGATTTTTGAAAATGTATCTCTATTTTTGAAGAGTTATCTGTTTTTGCAAATAAACTTCATATTTTATATATATATATATATATAATGTGGTATCAGAAATAAAATGAAAATTTTACTTTAGAATCACCAAAGCTTTTTTTTTTTGCACTACCGGTCAGAATAATTAAAATTTTTAGCATTTTTGCAAGAAGTTTTTTATGCCGCATTTATTTGATCAAAAATACAGTAAAAACATTAATACTGTGAAATATTTTTTACAATTTGAAATAGCTGTTTTCTATTTTAATATACTTTAAATTGTAATTTATTCCTGTAATGCAAAGTTGAATTTTCAGCATCATTACTCCAGTCTTCAGTGTCACATGATTATAATATACTGATTTGCTGGTCTAGAAACATTTATTTTTTTTTATCAATGTTGAAAACAGTGATACACTTTCTTTTCAAAAGTTTGAGGTAAGAAATTAATACTGTTATTCATAAAGGATGCTTTAAGTTGATTGATGACAGTGGCAGTGAAAACATTTATAATGCTACAAAAGATTTCGATTTCAAATAAATGCCATTCTTTTTAAATTGTATTCACTTTCTGTTCACCAAAGTATTGTTTCCACAAAAATATGTTTTCAACATTGATATTAAAAAGAACCTTTATTAATAATTGAGCACCAAATCAATATCGAAGTCAAATAATATTTCTTATCTTAAAAAAATACATTTTTTACTGTACTTTTGATCAAATAAATGCAGCTTTGGTGAGCATAAGACACTTTTTTTTATAAACATTATTCTAAACTTTTAACCTAAACTTGTATTGAAGAAAAAATTGTTAGCACACTATCCAACAGTGCTTTGATAATACTCATGAGTTATGAGGAGGAGTCCAAGGATATTGTTCCCTGATTGATACTGAAGAGCTGGCAAGCATCTCTGCAGCAGTAGGGAGCACAGGCCTGTGTGTTTGCTCTCTGCAGAGAAAAAACAGGGGAAGACAGCTGAATATAAGTGAACAAAAATGAAAGACAAACAAGATATGTTACATTTTCCGACCCAATCCCATTTAGAGACAGCTGGCCAGCACTACATGGATTCTTTTACCACACCCATTGTGCAATAATGACACCCTGTCTGTCTAACAATATCTGTTTGACATTTACTTTGGGGAAAATTACACAAATGGAATTTCTTTAAGCCTATGTATAAAACTTTTTTTTTTTTTTTTTGCATATACTGTAAAATGCACTCTTTTCTCAAATTTGTGGAAATACTTGGTGTATCACATGCCTGGAAATCTGTAGCAATCACTGACATAGTCAAATGCAAATAATTTTGGGAATTGTAGGTAGAGTAGTTCTTACTTTTCCAACTTTAAACATGCTTAGCATAAAAATAGACCACATGAGCAAAGATTCATCAGTGCACATTATTCCAAAGAAAAAAATGACTTTTTCATCAAAATGTAATAACTTACTGTACCTCAGAACCAACTTTCCTTTTCAGCCACAAACATGAATATGAGCTGAGAAGACAAGGAAAGCCAATAGCCAAATAATAGCCAATAGCTATATAGTTGTTGAAAGTTATGCATCTTTTCTAAAATCTTGACTTAGTTTTTGCAGTAATATACAATGGCTTTACCAAAAAACGGATGAAGTTAGGCATCAGTCTCCAAGCCTCCTCTAATGTGCATTCCAATGTTGTTTCTTCTTCAATACATTGAAAATTCACATTCGCTCTTTCTCCATTTCGCACTTTGGACGATCCAATCCATTCCTGGTGGATAAAATAATTTTTCATCCTACATTTACTTTGAATATTCTGTTTATTTTGGAAATATGTTTCATTACAAAAATAGAATGGGTTATGAATGCTGTTTCATGTTGACTTCTTCAAAGAAAGGAAAAAACAGATTGACCTTCCCTACAGACTGGATTTAGGGTTGTTAAAGTAGAAAAAGCAATACAGAAATACAGTATGAAGAAATGGAGAAAAAAAAAAAAAAAATCATGAAAACTCCCCATGGTGGCACATATCAGAATGAGGGCAGGAGGTTCACATGCCAACACTTTGTCTAGACACCAGTGACTTGACAAACAGAAGGCATTATTCACCAAAACTACATCCCAGTATGACTATGGATGGACACCCAGAAATGTTTTTTTTCCCATTAAATCACAAGCCGATCTCCAAACGACTGCTCTGGCTTGCGATGTGGAAAATTAAATGCATTGTGCACTCCTCTCCTTAATCACAGCGTTTCTGTGCACATGCCTCTAAAAATAAATTTTAAAAACAGAAACAGTGGGTCTTTTCTATTTGAAAACAATGTTTTCAATCACATTTTGCTTTGACAAATGATCCAGCAACTCCAGTATGGACTTCTTTTTCCATGTTGAATAGAGAAGTCACAGACAGTGGCAAAAATCGCACCATCCATCACTGACTGGAATTCTATTCAACAGAATTACAGTTCTTGACTACCAAACATTCTTCATTGTGTTTGAGACAATGAACAGTAGTCTGCTTAGTGTTTTGAACAATGCCGGTGCTAAATTAAATGGTATGTCTTCAAGTAATCCAATATACCTGACAAAACCCTATAACACTGAGTTCGGCAGAGAGTAAAATGTGTAAAATTAAATATCTTTATTTGAAACACACGTGTTGCCAATGTACACATTCAAGGTAACAGGTTAAACCGTGAGAGGGAACTATAAAATCTTAGATTTGGTCTCTTTTACATGTAAATAGATGTTTTAATGCTTACATTGCTGCCGTAGCTTCCATTTTATGAGCTGGGGAATCTCTTTATAACTAAAAATAATAAATGAAACACAGCACATAAAAGATAGCAGCCTTAATTTTCAACATTCTAGACCATATGAAGTCTGAAAATTCATAGTGTTACACACACTGAGATCTTTTCTCTCATCGTGCTGTGAAATTGCACAAGCATGTTTTAAACAAGAAAAAGCAAAAGCCGCTTAGTTCAAAATTCTTTGGGCTGTCGTACAGTAAACATTCAAGCGAGACCACACAGACAGAAGGAGTTGATGAAGGACACCCTCTGAATCCTCAGCTTTGTTATTCTTCAAAGGCACTTTGTTGAACCACATTAAGGACAGGCTCTGTTTGATAATAATCTCCATTGAGCGCCCAGGCTGAGAATATGAATATGGAGCAAAATGCAACGGTTCTCCACTACAGTAGAACTGATGTCTTTATAAATGCTTCAACAGGATCTCAAAATGCAGGATGATGCATGTACAAAAAGCCCTTTCTCGTTGGTTAGATAAGCCACTGTGGAAACCGTGTGCCTGAGGAACGAAGATTTCATTGCATTCATCTCTTTTCCAGAGGCAGAGTTTGCAATGGAAAGCAATGATATACATCACTGATTGTCAGGTTGGATAACATATTGAATGCTTCCTGAAGTCATTAACTACCAACCACATATTTAATTAAGTAAAGCATTTTTGGCAAGAGCAGGATGTTACTCCTGGAAAACTTGGCACTTCCAATATAAAAGAATTGGAAAGAATTCAAACTAAGGCACATTTGGTACGTTTAAAGATCATGCCTTGACTCAAAGCAGAAAAAGGAGCACAGGATTTGAACATTCACAGCAAAACTATGAATTCCTTTCATCAGATCTCCCAAATTCCACACCCATCAGCCTAACCTATATAACCCTGACTACGAGTCAAGCTCTTTGGCAGAAGAGTACTATACCGTGCAGTGGCATACATGGGAAGTCGAACAGACCTCACAGTCATCTTCGGTGCATGAGAGATTACTCTTGACTCATGTCTGTGATTCATATAACATGGAAATATCTCAATAAGAACATCGTCAACAATGGTCGCACAAACCTGCAGTAGTATTTGTTACAACACTTCTCCAAAATGCGGGTTAGGATTACATATCGAGGGCAACAGTTCCTCCACTTAAAACTATATTCTCTGTTCAAGGAGTTCATAGGAGGTCTAACAACATCCGTAGATTTGGATACGATACTGAAGAAAAATCAATGCACAGCGTGTGCATCGCCATCCCAGATGGATAAACGTCATTTAGAGTGTCTCTTTCTAGCCCCGTCGTTTTGCTGGTCTTCTGATTAGTCTCAGTGCTAATCATTGAAAAGACCACTACACATCTTCATATAGAAGCATACCACTGAAGATAGTTAAAGGCTCCACTGAATGGGCCAGTTTGCCCATGACCAGGTCTATGCAGACTGTATCGCCCACCTGAAGGGGCAGGATGATGTTGAAGACAGCCAGAGAACCTGGTGTTGGTTTTGCTTCGGCCATGGGTTTGTTTTCCAACCCTTCTGGTTGGTAACCTGCCGAGTCCACCCGAGCCATGCCATAGTTAGACCTGGAGAGCACAGCTTCAATCTTCTCATTTTTGTGACCTGTCAGGATAGCGCTAAAGAAGTAGCGTCCATCAAGTGGTGCAGTAAAGATACCTGTATTCAAGAAAAAACATATGTATACAGTTTTCCATGGCTCCATCCTTCCACATTATTTTTGCTTCATGCCAAAGTAGAATTGCAAATAGACTGTCTATCAGCAGTGCCAAGATTACCTGTTCGTGGATTATAATAGCTTCCTTCATTTACCAAGATCTTATCAAAAATGATTGTTCCAGATGTAACCATGGGATTTGTGAGAGCTGCTGAGAAGGAAAGACGTGGTATGTTGGCATCTGCGCCGGCCACACCTGAAATGATCACAGCAGTACATTTTTAAAAGAA